ATATATGAAAATATCACAGAAGACTCCATGCTGGAGTTGAGAAGGAGGTGTCAATGTTGGACAAATTTAGAAGTGAGTATATCGTCCACTTCTATGGTGCTTGTTTTATATTAAATAAAATTTGTATGGTTACCGAATTTGCTTTATTTGGTTCGTTACAAGATTTGATGAAATACAAAACAAGTGAAGAAATAGATATGAAGTTACGAGTAAAATATTGTCTTGATGCGTCTAAAGGTATTTTGTATTTACACGAAAATGGGATCTTACACAGGGATATCAAGCCAGACAATTTACTTGTGTTTTCACTTGATTTGAATGACAAAGTGAATGCTAAATTGACTGATTTTGGAAGTGCAAGGAATGTGAATATGCTGATGACTAATATGACATTCACTAAAGGTGTTGGAACACCAAAGTACATGGCGCCAGAAATATTAAATAAGCAAAAGTACAAAATGCCAAGTGATGTCTATTCATTCGCAGTGACTATGTTTGAGTGCTTCGGATGGTGCAACGCTTTTCCTCCAGACAAATTTAAATTCGCTTGGGACATCGCAGACTTTATCAGTGGGAAAGAGAGTGGAGAAACCAGATGATATTTCAAATGATATGTATAGTCTTATAAGTGAAGCTTGGAATCATGATGTGAGAAAAAGAATAGCTATACAAGCCGTTGTAGAACGTCTTGAAATAATATTAGAAACTTTATAAGTATGTTAAGAACATTTATTTATATTCCAACTCTTTAATTTTTTTAAATGAAAATCGAAATTATTAATAAAAAATAATTAATAATGAAATACTCTTTTTGTGAATAAAGATTATTATTTGTTTATTAACACTTAATAAAACACTTCCTGTTAAAAGTGTATTCAAATACTCTTTTAATTTTTCAAGAATTGACCACTTATTTTTTAATATTATAAATATGGTAAAACAAACTATATAAATAAATGATAAAATAATCAATTATTTACCAAGTGCAGAAAAATTAAACATAAAAACAAAGCTTTTACGTGTTAAAATGATTTGTCGTTGATTCACAACGTCTTATTAAACCGTTTTTGTTTTGTTTTATTTTCCAAATCATCAAACGGACTTGTTAACACTACTTATTTAACTCAACGTGTTTCACCAAAATCAGTCAATTACATTGCATTTTGTAGTAAGAACAGTCAATGAAAAATATCAAATTTTAGAAATGTAAACTTGAGTTAAATATCAGTTTTCCACCCATATGTGGATTTCATGTAATGGTGCTGTTGAGTACTTATAACACGTACTTTGTTGAAATTTTTCATTTTTAAATAAATAATATAGTATCTATTAGTTTTCAAACCAAAAATCAAACTAATAAAAAGAAACCGATTAAAAAATAAAAAAAGATGGTCAATTGGGAAAGTGTGTTGTCGCTTTTTTGGAAATATTTTTGCCTTTAGTGGATTCGCAGAACGATGATGTAAAAACACACTATGTTGCGATGTATTTGAAGGTCGCGGTAAAATTAGACGGCAGGTTCATCACACAAATTACAGCAAAAGTCAATCCAAAAATTAAAAAAGGATGAAACAAAACACGAATTATGTTTAACTCCTTGTCGTACTTTTTTATGTGTTTCAAAAAAATTGCGTTCTTAGTGAGAGATATATCATACGTTATTACGACAAAAGTTTGCATTTTTTAGCTACTTTTGATAAGAAAAAGATTTGGCCGATGGCGTATATGTGTTAGAAATTGAAGAAAACAATGACAATTTTACGTCGGGTTTCAAAGCGACTGTTTCTGGGATTGGGTGTTATTTCGCCCCCATATTTTTTCACCCTTTATTTTTTCACCCCCACTTTTCATTTTTATTTCAATAAACAATTGAAATTTTGTAACTTTAATTGAAATTGTTTTTCGTTTTTATTAGAATGTTCTGTGTATTATTTATAGTAAAATTTTAAATTAAAAAAATATTGTGTTTGATTACTTAAGTTGAAAATAGCATTATATAAAAAACGATTATTGCAAAAGAAAAAGAAATGTTAACAAAAGCAACTAATCGAAAACTCCATGTAAATATTTATATTTGTATTTATAGTTATATTATGAAATTGCTAAATGGTTTTATTTAATATTTACAAAACACTTTTGATTCAATTTCAAACCAAATACTTTCCAAATTGTTACATTAATTTATTAATAATGGTTAGTGTAAAACAATACAAATACAAATAGCAAACAATAATAAATAATAAAAACGATTTAAAACTAAATTACAATTTAAATAATTGTAATAAACTATAAATAATCAATGCATCCATTACAATCCAATACCGTTGCTCCACCACATTTCGCGGTATTGAAATCTGATAGAGACATGGAATTGCCTTATATTGATGGTTACAAATATTGGCCCAAAACTACTTCACGAGATTATTTCAGGTGTAAAACGTGTGGTAAACTTATTTATTGTTTCAAAGACGAAAATGGACATATAACAAATTTTGAGTTTCGGGGGAAGAAAACAATACATGGTCACAATACAACAGATTATTGGGATGATCTATTATGTTTAAAATTAAAACAACAATCATTAACAGATTCTGGAACTTTAAAAAGTCCAATTGAAATAGTGAATGAGGCTTATATTCACGGATCTTCAAAACGACTTTCAGTTTGTGTGGGAATAGTTAAACACCTTCAAAAAATTGGACCCAACCCCAAAAATGTCTCTTCTATAATTTTAACAGAAGAAGAAAAGGAAATGTTGTTATATCAAGATGAATCTGTTTTAATATTTGGCGCGAAAGAATATTTTGATTTTGTCAAACGTTCAAATGTTTTGTTTATTGACGGTACTTTCAAATCGTGTCCCAGTTTGTTAGTTTAAACATCATAAACATCGTGTTTATCAAGCTTATTAAAAATAAATGTTATTAATAACAAATTGTATAATTATATTTGTTTGCAAAAAAAACATAATATTTTGTATAACTTATTTCACAGAATTATTTTCACAACTTTACACCATACATGCAATGCAAAATGGTCAAAGTTTTCCTGTATTTTATTGTTTAATGACCGCTAAAAATTTGAAGAGTTATACTTTTTTATTTAATAAAATTGAAGAAATATGTGAATCGCAAATTTTCCATGAAAACAAAATTGTAATGGGAGATTTTGAAATTGTTTTTTTCAAACAAATCTTTGGGAATGACACAATTTTAAAAGGTTGCCATTTTTATTTTTGTCAATCAATTTTCAGAAGGGTATTAGCACTTGGGTTTTCTGACCGTTATAAAGATGGTGATATTTTTAAAATGGCAGTTAAAATGCTAATGTCTTTGGCCTATTTACCAGAAAATATGATTTCTGATGCATTTGAAGAAATGGTATTTCAATTTAAAGATGACAATGACGTAATAAAAATATTAGATTATTTTAGGAAAAATTATATTGAAGGAGTGTTTAAAATTAACTTTTGGTGTCTTTTTGGGATGGCAGAAAGAACAAATAATAGAGCAGAAAGCTTTCACTCTTCACTCAATCGTTTTGTTGAAACAACACATCCTTCAATCCATTCATTTTTGAAAAAATTAAAAAAGTTTCAAAAAAGAATTGATTTGCGTTTTTTCAGGTATACAAAATGTATGGAAAAAAAGAGGCCATTTACGAAAATGTTGGATAAAAATGTGACACTCGAAGAAAAACAAGCCGAATTAAAAGGACTTCATCCCATCACAACCAAAAAGTTTTTGGAAGATTGTGCTGTAATACTTGGGAGTAAACAAAATGATGTTATTTTTATGACTGAACCTAAGATTATTGAAAAGGAAGTTGCTGAGGAAAATGCTTTAATTGAAGAACTCGTCAAAACAAAAACAATAGATCCTTATTCAAATGATTCTGAAAAGAGTGGACAAAAAAAGCAAACAAAATATGACGATAACGTTATAAGAGATTATAAATTTGTTATTGTATTTAATTATTTAAATAAATTACATTTTGACAATTAAAAAAATATAAAAATAATAAATTTTAATTTGTAATAACAATAAGTGTAGATATACCAGAAAATAAATTAATTCAAAACTACCTGCTAAACGACAATGAAATGTTTTTGAGTTCAGCTGTCGTGTGTGATACATCAAAAGATCAAAAAACATTTCCGATTAAAAAGAAAAAAACATCCAGTAAAAAGAAACGAATTACAGATTCAAAAGAAATTAAAAAAATTAGAATGGTTCAAAACAAGAATAGAAAATCTTTAACAAACAAATCTAAAAACAAAAAAGAAACTCGTAAAACAAATTCTTTTTAATGTTTTTTAAGTTTACAAATTCACATGTATAATATATCATAATTATATATACATATGTTACATTTAAAATTTTGGTTTTAAAGTAATAAAGATATAACTTTTAATCATTATTTGAAATATTTTACACTAACCATTATTAATAAATTAATGTAACAATTTGGAAAGTATTTGGTTTGAAATTGAATCAAAAGTGTTTTGTAAATATTAAATAAAACCATTTAGCAATTTCATAATATAACTATAAATACAAATATAAATATTTACATGGAGTTTTCGATTAGTTGCTTTTGTTAACATTTCTTTTTCTTTTGCAATAATCGTTTTTTATATAATGCTATTTTCAACTTAAGTAATCAAACACAATATTTTTTTAATTTAAAATTTTACTATAAATAATACACAGAACATTCTAATAAAAACGAAAAACAATTTCAATTAAAGTTACAAAATTTCAATTGTTTATTGAAATAAAAATGAAAAGTGGGGGTGAAAAAATAAAGGGTGAAAAAATATGGGGGCGAAATAACCTTTCGCCGTTTCTGGTTTGTCTATAACTAGACATTGTTTATATGTGATACTATTTGACGATAGTTATGTTTTTTTTATATTTCAACTCCAATTGTGAATTGCTTAGTAAGATACTTAAAATTGGAAAACAAAAAACAATTATGTTACTTAAATATTTGTTTGTTTTTTATGTGTATTATAAAACACATTTTCCCTCTTTTTTGAATGAGTGAAATTATATTTTAACACGTAATTTTTTTAAAAAACATTTTTAAAGCAAAAACATTTTTTAAAGATAAAAACAATGTTTTTTTAAATGTTAAGACATAACTTTTTTTAAAAAAATCAAATATAACAATTGTAAAACATTTCAACCACAAAACTTGTGTATTGTATATATGTTAATATGATATTATTTAATAAGTTTTATATAAAAAATGAAGAATTTACCAAAGGTTTCCAAAATCACAATCCTAATTACCCACGTCACCATTTCATAACCAAAATGTTCATTTTCTCTTATAAATTCGAAAGTTATAATACCACATTTTCGGCAATAATGTTTTTGGAAACCTATAGAATTTACATTAATAGATATATATAATAATAATTGATTAATAAATTATTTATAAATACATTTTATTAGTAG